GAAGATTAGAACAGCAGATAGCAGTCAGCTGAAGTGGCCTGCAGTACGGCACCCTAACCACTGCGCCACCTCGGCTCTGAAATGAGGACCCAGACTGTGGGGGCGATATGCTGACTCTGTAAACCGCTTAGAGAGGGCTGAAAGCCCTATGAAGCGGTATATAAGTCTAACTGCTATTGCTATTCTAATCTTCAGGAGAACATCCGCCAGCTTTGCTGAACCATCCGTTTCTTTCCACCCTCCAGGGTTGAAAACATGTCGATGAGACTAGAAGAAGTGAACGAAAGGGAGCATTTCATGAAAGCTTCTCTCCAGACGGTGGACCTTCGGCTTTCTCAGCTGGAAGACACCTCTGGCCGCATGGCAACTGCTCTGGAGAAACTGGCCGGCATTGACACATCGGAGCTGATTCTCCCGCGTTCTCGGGCCTCCTCCGAATGTGACGCGGCTTATCTTTTGAGGCAAAGCAGCGTGAATAGTTCGGACGGCTACAGCATCTATCGCTACCAGGCGGATGAGCTGATCGGTGATACCTTGCCCACTCCGATGTCTCCAGCGCTGGCGTTGCGCGAAGCAGATCCCAAGATGCAGCTGTCTCCAGAACGTCAAGGAAGCCTCCTTTCTGCCTTGGGCCCAAATGCAGCGGCCTCTATGGAAAGTAAGAACTCCTTAGAGGCCGTTCGGGCTGCCCCTAGCCCGTATTCCAGTTCAGTAAACCCACAAGATCAGTCTCCAAGTTATGAGTCCGTATCTCAATCTCTTATGCGAATGGATAGTATTGAGAAGAGACGGTCTGGAACCCAACTGCTTCTGCAGAAAGCCCAGCTACCTCTAGGGAAGACCAAGCTGGAAGCCACCACCTCTTACCCCTTGGACGGGCCCAAAGCAAGGAGATACTACCCAACCGAAACAGGCTACGCTTCTCATGTCGCCCTAATGAAGTCAAAGAGTTTTATTCTTGCACAAGGCAGGGAATTGGTTGGCGGGTACAATAACTGGACGGTGATGGACCAAGAATATAGGACTATCATGAACCAAGTGTGCCCTTCTGCGGTTCAGCCGTGGACCGCTGAATGGAAGTACGAACTTCAGCAGAAAATGGATGATGAGCCCCCTCCCAAATATCCAGGTATTGTTCCTCAGCTGGAGGGTCAGGTAGAGCAAAAGTGTTTGATGGCCAGCCCTGAAGAGGATAGTGAGATAGGCAAAGTTGAAGGCCTCAGTCTCTCCCCCGTGTCTTCACCACTCATTCAGAGGAGGCCGTCATGCAACAGACACTCGGTGAAGTCAGGAAGAGCCGGTAAATATCCACCTGGGCGGTCAAGGAGTTTACACAGCCGTTCTCAGAGAACCAAGTCCATTAAGGAGAGGCTAAACAGGCCAGGACATGCCAGTAGCATCAGCAGTTTGATGATACCTTCGGGATCTCCAACGGAGGAGTGGAAAACCAATCAAGAAAAACCTTCCACAGAAACCGAATGCTAAGCCTGGCCTTTTTTCGATGAGTGAGCCACAGGAGATAGGCTTGAGTGTCTTTGCTGGGCCTTGACAAGAAAAGAATGACCTGACAGGAGGTTACAGACAAGAAGACCATACCTGTCACCTCGTTTTTCTTGTGCAGCATGCTCTCAATCATGGACAGAGGGAGGCAGATTCCAACTGGACATCAGAAAAACCTCCTCAGCGGTACAAGAACAAATGACCAAGAGAAGAGAAGAGTCCACTTCATTGGAGGTGGTCCAGCACAGGCTAGACAGCTGGTCTGTTGGAGAAGCTTTCATCTGGACCCTGTATTGAGCAGTGGAACCAACGTGATGGTTTCCATTTCCTCTTCCAACTTGGGGACTCAGTGAATGGATAAACACAGCAGAGATAAAGAAAGATGAGCAGACATGATGGAATGACAGCTTAATATTTCTTCCCTCCCTCCCCTTCCCTTCCCTTCCCTTCCCCAAATATTTGTATACAGAGACACTTTGAATGTCCATCCTCCCGCTCTCCCCAGGAGCCCTTCCCAGTATGATCTCCTTTGATACCAGTGCAAAACATTTTCTGTTTTCTCTTTCCTCCTCCGGGCATCATGCTACCACGACTGAAGCCAAGGGCAGAAGGCTCTTCTTTTATTCTTTATGGCATTTTCATGGAATCTTTGCAGTGAGGAGCATCGGATAGTTCAGCTTCCTCTAGCCACGATCCTCCATGGCTGCTTAAGGATGCTTTAAAAAAATAAATAAAGGAAAAAGAAGGGCAGCTTTGCAGTTTTTTTGGGCACGGGATGGGAAAGCAAAGAGGGCATGTTTTCAGCTAGCCATTGGGAAATACGAAGAGATGAGTGGAGCTTGAGATCCCAGGGTTGAGCCTAGTTCATGAACCAGATCCATCATTGGATCAACCATGAGGTTATTCAAAAAAGGACCAACTGTGAGCAAGCAATCACCTTGCCAAAATGGCAGACACAACCAATGGAAGAGAAGGGGCAGTTAATGGAGGGATGTTGAGAAGGAATCCCAGGTACTCCGGTCAATCAGAGTTGGGTTGCTCCTGGGATAGAAAGAAGTTCTGGAGACCACCAGCTCCCAAGAGCTGGGCTTGGCAAACAGGGTTGAAGCGATGGTGGAAAACACAAGTGTTGGAGAACTTGGAATGGGCTGGGAACTGGAGAAGGTTGACACAAT